CTAAACATCCTGTTGATGTTACTGCTAGACAGATAACATCAGAAGCCCATGTGCACAAGACATGGGCTTCTATCTGTAATTATAACCGCAAGCTGTTTTCATCTTAGCTGTTGACCTTCACTGAAAGTTCTCAGTGCTTGTTTTCTAATTTCAAAGTCTTTACTGTTGATGTTTTGCCATGTCTTACTCGAATATGGTTAGAAAGCAAACAATGTCATTAGTTACACTTGATCTTCTCCTGCTGTGACAGACATCGCACTATTCTCTTTTGTAGTACCGGTTTGGATCCGCTTTTGCATTCAGAAGTGTCTTAATTTGTCATGGAATGGATTCAACAAGATATAGTGCTAGCTGTACAGTTTAATACTAAAGTCCCATTCTGTAAAAATGGCTGTCACATTTCTGTATTTTCTGTTTAATTAAACAGTTTATCTTATCTCATCTCATCTTATGTTATGTTATGTTATGTTATGTTATGTTATGTTATGTTATGTTATGTTATGTTATGTTATCTCTTCTCATCTCATCTCAGTCTCAGTCTCATCTCTTCTTATGTTATGTTATGTCATCTTATCTTATGTAATGTTATGTAATGTTATGTAATGTTATGTTATGTTATCTCTTCTCATCTCAGTCTCATCCCTTCTTATCTTATGTTATCTCATCTCATCTCATCTCAGTTCATCTTATCTTATTTGAACAGGGTTGAACGGGGACTCTTTCATCTGGGGAACAGGAGGGACATTTACACTGACAGCAAACTCTCTCACAGAATTTTGTTGAATTAAGATGGTCTTGAAAAATCAAAAATATATTTACTTTTCTGTATTTTCTGTTTAAATGAGTTTGTTTTATTGATTTTATTTCAGTTTCCCCATCCATTTTCTATTGTGATATCACATTTATTTTATTGAATTTTAATAATATTATTTTTAATGTTTTGGCTTCTGTAAGTAACGCAGTAATCTCCCCTTTTGGGGGGATGAATATATCTTATCTAAAGATATCATTGTTGAGAATATTATAAGTAAAGTAAAAGCATTAGAAAGATAGATATATAGTTTTCAATGATGTTTGACTATGAGATTGCGAACTGCAGGAACTCGGTGATGTGGTTTTGTTGGAAACTTCATGATAAGCAATTACACTTACAATAAGCGCATCATGACCTATTTCAGTGCTCCAGATGCACAGCTTTACCGTCGTTACATGGGTCTTGGGTATAAAATAAGTTCCTCTGACCTAGAAAAGAAGATCCAACCTCAAAGCAACCCACTTGTAGCGGCCCACATGAAGTCAGAGCACGGAGGTCTTCAGTGAAGCTTTCATCCTCTTTAAACTCTTATCTCCACTTGTATCTAAATGTCACATACTTTATATCTATCTATAAATATATATATAATTATTTTGTATGTCTCTTTTAAGTTTATGTCAAGAGTCACAAAGAGGAATGACGCTTTATAAAACGTCCCATGTTTCACGGCTGGCTCTGTCTTATCAGGGTGTGTTGATGCAGGTCACGCTGGTCACATGTCTAACATGTGTGACCCAATATGTCTCTTTTCAGTTTTCCTATGATTACAACTTCTAGTTTGTATTTGGCTAATATATGATGCAATGAGCACTGAATAATATAAAAAGCTTTTTCAAAAAGCTTCTTTGCTTTTATTTCAATTCAGTTCAGCGAGCAATACTTTTTAACCACACTGTTTTTTATGTGACAGTTTTAATAATTTTGTACTTTACAAATTTCTTTGTATAAATACAATATATAATATGATGCATAATTATTGTGCCCTGCCCTAAATACAAGCAAAGTTGTAACAAGTTTAATTGATCACTTATTTTATAGAAAGTACATTTTTTAAATAGCTTTTTAATTAGAAGGGGTTTTTTTTCCTTGTAGTGGTCTTATGTAAGGTTTTACCATTTAAAAGTTTCCACTCTTGGTTGGACAGAATTTTGGGTTCTATAAATAAAAATTAAAAAAAATTAGGGGGGTTTTCGTGACAGTCTAGCACCATTGATGTGGTCAGAGCTGAGGTATAAATGAAGCTGCTTAACAGTGCACCCCCTTTCACTCCACTTGAAGATAGGCGAGACAACTTTATCATCAGAATCACTGTTGTCAACGGAAACAAAGACATGGTGACAATCAAAGCCATGGCGATGGTGATCGCACTCACTATTTGTCTGACTGCGAACAGTTCTGACGGTATGTACTTGCTGCCTTTCTGTTTTTCATCTTTAATTTTATTTATTTATTACTATTATTTATTATTATATATTTCCTTTTTTCACAGGCTATCGTTACTGCTGTCGAAGATATATGACAAGCCGATTACGAGATGTTGACATTAAGGGGTACTCGGTCCAGACTATTAAGGAGATGTGTCCCATTGATGCCATCATGTGAGCGTCATTAAAATCATTTTAAAGGTTAAAGACAGCTTCAATGATTACCGTGGGTGTATAAATATTTACATATTGCTTTCTTTTAATGCAGTTTCCACACAAAGAAGGGGAAAGCATGCGCCAATCCAGCTCTGAAGTGGGTGATGGACGCTGTTGATCGTTTAAGGTGAGATTT